AAAATCAAAGCAGAAATAAATGAATTCGAAATTAAAAAAAAATCTAAAAGATCAATGAAACCAAAAGCTTGTTCTTTGAAAAAATAAACAAAATAGACAAACTCTACCAAGGCTCACAAAGGAAAAAACACATATAAATAGGATTACAAGTGAAAGAGGAGAAATTACAACAGATTCAGTAGAAATCAAAAGAAAAATCAGAGATTACTATGAAGACTAATATGCAAACAAATTCGGCAACCTAGAAGAGATGGACAAACTCCTAGAACGATATAATCATCCAAAGCTAGACAAAGAAGAAATAGAACAAGTAAATAGACCAATTACGAGCAGCGAAATTGAAGCAGTAATCCAAGCACTCCCCAAAAACGAAAGCCCAGGCCCAGACAGCAGTGAATTACTGCTTATCCTACACAAACTCTCTCAAAAAATTGAAAAAGAAGGAATACTACCAAATATGTTCTACAAAGCCAACATTACATTAATACCAAAACCCAACAAAGACAGGCATATGAAAAAATGTTCAACATCACTTGTAATCAGGAAATGTAAATCAAAACTCCCATGAGATACCATCTTACACCAGTGAGAATGGCACATATTAAAAAAAACTAGCAACAACAAATGTTGGCGAGGGTGTGGAGAAAAAGGAACTCTCCTGCACTGCTGGTGGGAGTGCAAACTGGTCCAACCACTATGGAGAACTGTGTGGAGATTTCTTGACCTACTAAACATAGAGCTTCCATATGATCCAGCAATTCCACTCCTAGGTATTTACCCAAAGGACACAGAAACATCAATTCCAAAGAGCACCTGCACCCCTATGTTTATAGAAGCACTATTTACAATAGCTAAGCTTTGGAAACTACCCAAATGCCCAAAAATAGATGACTGGATCAAGAAGATGTGGTACATATACACCATGGACTATTAACTCGGCATTCAAAAAAGATAAACACATGTAATTTGTAGCAACATGGATGGCGCTGGAAGGGATCATGCTCAGCGAAATAAGCCAGAAAGAAAAAGAAAAATACCAGATGGTCTCACTCAGAGCAGGAATCTAGAAAACTTAAATAAGGGACCAGGAAAAAGAATAACTATAAGAAAGAAAATATCAAAATCAACAAACAACTATGAACAAGGGGGTTGCAATTGTATGGGGAATATAAAAATAAAATTTCAAAAAGAGAGAAGTACAAAATCAACACATGAACATCAATTGCCTTCCTATGTGCAAAAAATGAATCAGAAGAGAAGAAATTTGAAGGCAATCCTATGTATAATGACAAAATTACCTAGGAGTAACCCTAAAACAGGAAGTGAAGATACACAGAAAATTGTAAGACATTCTTAGAATAAATAGGAAACACAAAAAAAGGGAAAGATATGCCCTCCTCATGGACAGGAAGAATCAGGATTACAAAATATCCATCGGACTCAAAGCAATTTACAGATTCATGCAATCCAAATGAAAATTTCAATGGCATTTTCAAACATATGAAGCAAACATTACATAAAAGCATATGGAACTACAAAAGACCACAAACAGCCATAACAGTCTTGTCAAAAACGAGTAAGAAAGGAAGAAGCACACTTCCAGACTTCAAACTGTATAGTAAAGCTCTAATAGTTAACAGCATGGCACGGGGACAAAAGCAGACACAGACCCCTGGAATATAACGAGGGCCCAGGAACCCACCCTCATCAGGAGGGACAGTGACTCTATGACAGAGGAGCCAGAGCAGGCACTGGAGCAGGGAAAGTGGGGAAAAGGTGCTGGGAAAAGCAAACAGACACATGCAGCAGAGTGAAGCAGGTCCTGCCCCACACCCTACAGAAGAGTAAACTCAAAGAGGTAAACGCCTGTTTCCTGTTTCCTGTGTGACATCACCATCGTCATGCAGCAAACCTAAGTATATGACACCATGAGCAGAAACCCTAAAATACTATTTCCTAAAGATTAAAAGCAAATTATCTCAACAAAAGGACAATTCTAATGTAAGTGCAGTGACAGGTGCTGGGTGGAAAAGATCTGCAGGATACACAATTTCAGAGACGAGTAAAGTTTCTCTTCCCGAAGGGCTGGTGACCCCCATGGTCACTCACTTCTGCTGGACGTCCATTGTCTTTTCGTCCCACTCCTCTCCCTTGGCTCCCTCCTGCCTCTCTCCTTGTCCCTTCCCTCCCGCCTCCTGCCTTCCCGCATCCCCCTCACGCCCATCCCCAGGGCCTCTCCATGAAGGGCAACAGTGGGTGACGGGCGACTGTCCAGCTGTCTAGACAGGGACTCAGGGCACTGTCATGACTGATGGTGCCCACCATGGCGGACACGACAGGTGGGGAATGGAACCTGGAAGTGAGGATTTGTCTATTCATGTCCATAGAGGCGTGAGCCAGACACAAAATCACATCTACACACTGAGTGTGATAATTACTCCCCGAGAAGCACTGCAGGACGCTCCAATTAACACAGTCAAGTAAACACACACTTTCCCTCTGGAGGAAGGTCCCTGAGGGCTGGAATGTGGACAGTGTCCAACACGCGGACACCAGCTCCAGAGCTCAAATAGCCCAGCCCTGGGGCCCTGCTCTGTCCATGAGGCGGCAGCAGGACAGGTGGAACATCCTGTGAGTGCTCAGAGGCATCCCCAGGAGCCCCAACCATGGAGTGAGAGGCCGGGATACCCTCTGTCCATGCCATGGAGACAACCTCAGGACACAGATGGACACAGCAGCCAGAACTTTCCCCCGCAATTTGCAGGTATTCGGTTCTTAGGCAGTTTTCAGAATGGAAATCACTCTGACTTGAAAGTTGTTAGAATTCAAGCTTCATTTTAGATGTGAGAAAGTACATTAATTAAAATACTCATTTTATAAATCATGAAAACTAATAAATTCTGAAGGTGCACAAGTTTCTCAGTGCCCCACTGCCTTATCCTGCTGGATGAGTCTCAACGAGAAGAAATATACTCTCCTTTAAAGGGTTCAAAGGATTGTGATGCATCTTATATGTGACAATGAATGCTTCATAACTGGCATTTGAGCATTCAGCACACTGAGTTGTTTTGGGCACTATGTAAAAGCACAACAATTAATGGAATTACATCGTGATGAAGAAATTCCAGGAGAAAGTTAATATAATATTTATTGTCAGAATGTTGTGCCTTTTGCCTACATATTATGACAGACCTAAGAGTCAAATAAATTATCTCACTTCTACACAACATTGTTCACCATTTCAGGCTCTGGCACTAGAGAGAAGAAGGGTGTGGACGCCTGTCTTTTTATAGACATGGACTTGGGGTTTTTCCCAACTACACCACTCAGGGATCGTGAATGATACGGCACAGGAAGAGAATATGTCAGAGCTTCTGTCATCATTACCAGTATGTTTCATATCAGTCACAAGATGTCTGCATCTTGGACCACCTCATATTCTGATTTATTTTCCTGTTTTTATTAAATTATTAGGAAGATGCCACCAATGTGTTGCAATTATTTTATGTTACTATGTGACCCTGCCTCCCCAGGGCCTGCCCCTCCGTCACCCCACAGAGGGGGGAGAGGTAAGATTGGGGGGAGGAGAGCGGGCAGGGCTGCCCCGTGTCCAGACGTCCCCACTCACGCACAGGCCTGGGGTGAGGAACAAACCTGCACCGGGGGACCTGGGTCCCTGGGACTGGCAGGGACAACCACACGCACAGACCGTCCGGCTCAGCCCGGAGCGGCCTCCTCCCTGCACAGATGTGCATGAGTCTGAGGGGGACAGAGGGGCCGGGAAAGACCCGGGGTGGACGAGCCCATCCTGCAGGAGGGACGTGTGGGTGTGACCCAGGAGGAGACTCTTTGGGAAACGTGGTCTCTGAGTCCTCAGATTTGTGGAGTCAGGGGCAGGAGATGAGGAGACGAGGGGACAGACCAGGAGTCAGGAGTGAGGCCACAGGGGCAGGAATCTGACAGAGGACATGTCAGGCACGGGGTATGCTGAGCCCAGATCATTCAGTTCCAGGACAGTGTCGGGTCCTGGGGAGCAGGAAAACAGAGACGCACACCCCATCTCCCTGCACACCCGTCACTGTGGGGCCTCCCCAGACCAGGTCTGTGCTGGAGGAGTAGGGACAGGGTCTTTGGGGTGGGGAGGGGCTGGGCATGGTCACGTGTCCTCTGGGACTGTGCCCTGGACAACCTCTGGGAGGTGTGCTGGGCGGAGGTGCTGGGGCCCGGGCAGGAGAGGGAGCCGCGGGCCTGGGAATGACTGGGCACTGGTGTTCTGTCAATTCAGTTCACTGAGAGACCTGATATGCAGGTTTTATCATGGTCATTTAAAATTTTCATTTCTTCATGAATTTATGGACACATGTTTGGACAATACATCAATAGCACATTCACATGAGATAAAATATGAATTACTCAGATAACAATAAAGCATAGATTGCATGATGATTATGTGTTAATAACCCATTTTGTGTTCAATATTGGAAGATATGACAATGTTTTTTTTCCTCTTTTTTATTTATACAGATGACGGCTCCAGGGGGGATGAATCTCACAGCCGTGACAGAATTCGTCCTCCTGGGGTTCCCCACCCAGGGGACCATGGGCTTCTTGCACCCGCTGCTCTTCTCCCTGGTCTACCTGTGCGCCCTGCTGGGGAACGGGCTCATCGTCCTCATCACCACCCTGGACCGGCACCTCCACACCCCCATGTACTTCTTCCTGAGGAGTCTGTCCTTCACGGACCTCTGCCTCATCTCAGCCACGGTCCCCAAGTCCATTGCCAACTCTCTGAGGCACAGCAGCTCCATCTCCTTCCCGGGCTGTGTCCTCCAGGTCTTTATGCTGGATTTGTCAGCAGGTGCAGAGCTGACCCTGCTCACGGTGATGAGCCTTGACCGCTATGCTGCCATCTGCCACCCCTTGCACTATGATGTCATCATGAGCAGGGACAGGTGTGTGCAGCTGACAGCTGTGTCCTTGCTGGATGGCTGTCTATTGGCTGTGATGAACACAGCTGGAACCTTCTCTTTGTCCTACTGTGGGTCCAACGTGGTCCACCAGTTCTTCTGTGACATCCCCCAACTTATGGCTATTTCCTGCTCAGGAAATTTAATGAACGAACTTGTCCCCATGTTCATTAGTGCGGTGATGGATTCCTCTTGTTTTATTTTCATCGTAATTTCCTATGTCCACATCTTCTCTGCTGTCAAGAAGATCCCATCCACAGAAGGTAAGGCCAAAGTCTACTCCACTTGCCTTCCCCACCTGCTGGTTGTGGTGCTGTTTGTCTGTACTGCATTCTTTGCTTATCTGAAGCCAACCTCAGAGACCCCATCCATGTTTGACCTGGTCATTTCTATGTTCTACACGGTGATGCCCCCCACCTTTAATCCCGTCATATACAGTCTGAGGAACCAAGCCATGAAGTCGGCGGTGGGGAGACTGATGAAGGGGAGACTCACCAAAATGTAATAGAGAAGATGACTTCATAACTCCATTATGAGACACATATTTTAAAATTTCACATAATACTGGCCTTTATGTTTTTCTAAGTTCATATAATTCCATCGTAAAATTTAAAAATATATGCTCTCCTTTAAAATACATTTACGATGACTTCATATATTCTGCTGCTCATATAGTCTTATTAGCATTGATTGTTCCTCTTTTTAACTTAGTTCCACTTTGATATTCTCTGTATGATGGAGATCACTGAGCTTCAGCCACTGCCTGCTGTTCTCCATTCTGTGCTCCGGGCCAAGAGAGGCGATGGTTGGGCTTCATCTCAGTGGTCAGCAGATCTCTCACTGGGGCAGCATTTCCAGTCTCTAAGGCGGCTTCTCCTTTCATGTCACTGACCCTCGTGGTCACGGGTAGGATCAGGGGCCGTGGGTAGGACAGAGGCCCCTGTACTTATGCCCCTTCACAGCATAAATAAGGCCTTTGGTCCAAGTTGGAATCTGAGTAGTCACGACCTTATGTGAACAAAGACCCACACACATGATTGGGTAGAGACCCCCCCTGGAGGCTCTGGCGTGGGTGCCGCTGGCATTTACCATAAACTCACTCAGTGCATGGTGGACACCAGAAATAAGACAGTGGCTGTGAAAGCTATTACTTTCATGTGCAGTATAATTACCAAAAATTTACTAAAATACATTGGGTAGGGTTTTTCAAGAAACAATAAAGGAACTTAGGAAGCTATAATGGTAAAAACAAAATAATAGCTAGTGGACTGAACCATGTTCTAGTATTTGAAGAGATAGTTGAGGAAGGGCACCCACAACAGCACGCCACACTTTCCTCATGTGTTTATCCCCATTTATTTAATTTCCTAGAATTTCTGGGAATTTGAGGACAATGTCCTTTTGGCCACATTATTATGGGATTTCAGAGTGTTTGTGATTCCACGGGGAGTAGTTCAAAAGAGAAAACTCATCAGATTTACATATCATAAATAACACTATCATTTAGTGTAGATGCAAAGACATAAAGAACTTGAAGGAGATTTAAATTTGGAAGTGAAGTGGCCCCATGATTGTCACTTGCTGTCTGGCCTCAGCTCCTCTCTGCTGACAGCATCCACCTTTGCTGTCCCGTCTGTGACGTCCAATGTTTGAAAATTTCACACCAGAATATTTCATGATAAAATGTAGCTCCCATTGGATATCAGACATTTAACTCATTCTCAGACATTCACCCTCTGAGGGTGCTACTCAGGCTGACCCTTGCCTTCAGCCCAGGTGAGGCCCATGTGGGCACAATGTCAGTTTGGAGGCAGCCAGGAATGGTTAAAACTGGCAACATCTCCATCTTTCAACATTTGGGTTAACAACCTGTTGCTGTTCTTTTAAATCATTGGCATTGTAGTTTTTTCTGATGATAAATAACTTTCTTAATATTAATTCTTGATACTCTCATAGTTTACTGTCAATAAAATTTATGGGATATCAAGAGAAGAAAGTTATGAATGAATGAAGAAGCTGAATCAGACTATTATTAACATATACTGAGACTATTCATTGCTTACAATTTGTCAGTTTTGTGTAACATAATTAAAATTTTAAAATAATAAAACATTAACTGTCTCTAGGTTGTATGGATTTAAACATTTAAGCACAATTAAAACTGTTGTAGACAACATAATATACACTAAGAAAACAAGAGATTCCACTGGAAAAATAAAACAATAAGCCACTTCAGTGTGGTTGGAAGCTTAAAAAATCAACATACAAAAATCAATTGCCTTCTTATATGCAAAAATTGAACCAAAAGAGAAGTTAAGAAAACAATCCAACTCATAATCACAAGACTAAGTACCCCAGAGTAGACATAACAAAGGAGGTGAAGATACAAGAAAAGAGTAAGGCATTGTCAAAAGAAATAGAAAGTACAGAGAAATGGAAAGAAATTCCCTGCCCTTGGTTTGGAAGAATCAACATTACCAAATGCCCATCTGACCCAAAGCAGTTTACAGATTCAATGTAATGCCAATAAGAACTTCAGTGGCATTCTCCAAGGATATAAAAAAAAAAAATACTGAAATGTAAAAGACCCCGAACACCCAAAACAACACTGACAAAAAGAGGAAGAATGGGGGCAGCTCACTTCCAGACTCCAGTCCATACAATAAGGCTCTAAAAGTTAAAGCAGCATGGCACTGGGACAAAAACAGACAGACAGGCCACTGGAATATAATGAGGCCCAGGAATCCTCCCTCATCAGGATGGACAGTGACTCTACGACAGAGGAGCCAGAGCAGGCACTGGAGCAGGGAAAGTGGGGAAATGGTGCTGGGAAAAGCAGACAGACACACGCAGCAGAATGAAGCAGGTCCTGCCCACACCCTACAGAAGAATAGACTCAAACAGATAAACGCCTGTTTCCATGTGTGACGTCACCATCGTCACGCAGCAAACCAAAGTATATAACACCATGAGCAGAAACCCTAAAATACTATTTCCTAAAGATTAAAAGCAAATTATCCCAACAAAAGGACAATTCTAATGTAAGTGCAGTGACAGGTGCTGGGTGGAAAAGAACCGCAGGAGACACAATTTCAGAGATGAGTAAAGTTTCTCTTCCCGAAGGGCTGGTGACCCCTGTGGTCACTCACTTCTGCTGGACGTCCATTGTCTTTCAGCCCCACTCCCCTCCCTTGGCTCCCTCCTGCCTCTCTCCTTGTCCCTTCCCTCCCGCCTCAGGCCTTCCCGCATCCCCCTCACGCCCATCCCCAGGGCCTCTCCATGAAGGGCAACGGTGGGTGACGGGCGACTGTCCAGCTGTCTAGACAGGGACTCAGGGCACTGTTATCACTGATGGTGCCCACCACGGTGGACACGACAGGTGGGGAATGGAACCTGGAAATGAGGATTTGTCTATTCACTTCCATAGAGGCGTGAGCCAGACACAAAATCACATCTACACACCGAGTGTGATAATTACTCCCGAGAAGCACTGCAGGACGCTCCAATAAACACAGTCAAGTAAACACACACTTTCCCTCTGGAGGAAGGTCCCTGAGGGCTGGAATCTGGACAGTGTCCAACACGCGGACACCAGCTCCACAGCTCAAATAGCCCAGCCCTGAGGCCCTGCTCTGTCCATGAGGCGGCAGCAGGACAGGGTGGAACATCCTGTGAGTGCTCAGAGGCGTCCCCAGGAGCCCCGACCATGGAGTGAGAGGCCAGAACGCCCTCTGTCCGCACCACGGGGACAACCTCAGGACACAGATGGACACAGCAGCCGGAACTTTCCTCCACAATTTGCAAGTATTCAGTCTTAGGCAGTTTTCAGAATGGAAATCATTCTGACTTGAATGTTTTTAGAATGCAAGCTTCATTTTAGATGTGAGAAAGCAATTAATTAAAATACTCATTTTATAAATCATGAAAACTAATAAATTCTGAAGGTGCACAAGCTTCTCAGTGCCCCACTGCCTTATCATGCTGGATGAGTCTCAATCAGAGGAAATATTCTCTCCTTGAGTTTAAAGTGTTCAAAAGATTGACTTGTAGTACCTTTATATATTAGAAGATTTATTGTATGTGACAATTAATGCTTCGTAACTGGCATTTGAGCATTCAGCACACTGAGTTGTTTTGGGCACGTATAAAAGACAACAGCTAATGGAAATACATTGTGATGAAGAAATTCTGGGGGAAATTTAATGTAATACTTATTGTTAAAAATCAGAATGTTATGCCTTTTGCCTACATATTATGACAGACCTAAGAGTCAAATATAAATTCTGCAAATTTTACAGCAACATGGTTGATTATTTCATGGCTCTGGCATTAAAGAGAAGTTGGGTGTGGACTCAGGTCTCTTTACAGACATGAACTTGGGTATTTTTCCCCAACTCTACGACTCAGGGGTCATCACTGATACTGCACAGGAAGAGAAAATGTCGAGCTTCTGTTATCAATAAATATATGTTTCATAATACTCGAAAGATGTCGACAACTTGGATCACCTCATATCCTGATTTATTTCCTTGTTTTTATGATATTACTGGGAAGATTTCTACCAATGTGTTGCAATTGTTTTACATTACTATGTGACCTTAAAAGTCCTGCCCTCCCCAGGGGCTGCCCCTCCGTCATCCCACAGAGGGGGGAGAGGATGAGATGGGGAGGAGGGGAGAGGGCAGGGCTGCCCCATGTCCAGACGTCACCACTCACGCACAGGCCTGGGGTGAGGAACAAACCTGCACCCGGGGGAACCGGGTCCCTGGGACTGGCGGGACAACCACACGCACAGACCGTCCGGCTCAGCCCTGGAGCGGCCTCCTCCCTGTACAGATGTGCATGAGTCTGAGGGGGACAGAGGGGCCGGGGAGAGACCCGGGGTGGACGAGCCCATCCTGCAGGAGGGACGTGTGGGTGTGACCCAGGAGGAGACTCTGTGGGAAACATGGTCTCTGAGTCCTCAGATGTGGGGAGTCAGGTGCAGGGAGATGAGGAGATGAGGGGACAGACCAGGAGTCAGGAGTGAGGCCACAGGGGTAGGAATCTGACAGAGGAGGTGTCAGGACACACCGCACGGGGATGCTGAGCCCAGATCATTCAGTTCCAGGACAGTGTCGGGTCCTGGGGAGCAGGAAAACAGGGACCCGCACACCCCATCTCCCTGCACACCTGTCACTGTGGGGCCTCCCCAGACCAGGGCTGTGCTGGAGGAGCAGGGACAGGCTCTCTAGGGGGGGGGTGCTGGGCATGGTCACGTGTCCTCTGGGACTGTGCCCTGGACAACCTCTGGGAGGTCGCTGGGCCGAGGTGCTGGGGCCTGGCAGGAGGCCGGAGCAGAGAGATTGGAGCAGTAGGGAGGGGCTGTCAGTCGGGTTTGTTGAGAGATATGAGATTTTAATTTATGCAAGATTTGTAGGGGATAATGGAAATTTTCACCAATTTTCAGGTCTTCTGTGGAAAAAGTTATCATGCACATTCACATGAAGTGGAAATAAATGGGCTGAATAATGAAGTTTATTTAGATGATGATTTTTGACTCAATAGGACCTAGAAGGAATAATTATGTAGAAAATACATTGAATCATTACTCTATTATGATAACACACATGCTCCACGTTGGAAGTTAGACATTTTCTTTCCTTCTCCTTTCCCAGTACAGATGATGTCTCCAGAGGTGACCAATCTCACGGCCGTGACAGAATTCGTCCTCCTGGGGTTCCCCACTCAGGGGACCATGGGCTTCTTGCACCCGCTGCTCTTCTCCCTGGTCTACCTGTGCGCCCTGCTGGGGAACGGACTCATCGTCCTCATCACCACCCTGGACCGGCACCTCCACACCCCCATGTACTTCTTCCTGAGGAGTCTGTCCTTCTCGGACCTCTGCCTCATCACAACCACGGTGCCCAAGTCCATTGCCAACTCTCTGAGGCACAGCAGCTCCATCTCCTTCCCTGGCTGTGTCGTCCAGGTCTTCATGATGGTTTTTTCGGCAGGTGCAGAGATGACCCTGCTCACGGTGATGAGCCTTGACCGCTATGCTGCAATCTGCCAACCCCTGCACTATGATGTCATCATGAGCAGGGACAGGTGTGTGCAGCTGACAGCTGTGTCCTGGCTGGGTGGGGGTCTCTATGCTGTGATGAACACAGCTGGAACCTTCTCCTTGTCCTACTGTGGGTCCAACGTGGTCCACCAGTTCTTCTGTGACGTCCCCCAGTTGTTGGCTATTTCCTGCTCAGGAAATCTAATGAACAAACTTGTCCCCATTCTCATTAGTGTGGTGTTGAGTACCTGCTATTTCATTTTCATCATCATTTCCTATGTCCACATCTTCTCTGCTGTCAGGAAGATCCCATCCACAGAAGGTAAGGCCAAAGTCTACTCCACCTGCCTGCCCCACCTGCTGGTTGTGGTGCTGTTTGTCTCCACTGGATTCTTTGCTTATCTGAAGCCGACCTCAGAGACCCCGTCCATGTCTGACCTGGTCATTTCTATGTTCTACACGATGGTACCCCCCACCTTTAATCCGGTCATATACAGTCTGAGAAACCAAGCCATGAAGTCGGCTGTTGGGAGACTGATGAAGGGGAGACTCACCAAAATGTAATAGAGAAGATGACTTCATGACTCCATTATGAGACACATATTTTAAATCTTCACATCATTCTCCCCTTTATATTTGTATAGTTACATGTAATTCCATTGTATAATTAAAGATATATTCTTATTTTTAAATTATATTTAAGATGACTCCATATACCCCTATAGCTTTAATTGTTTCTCTTGTTAACACTTAGATGTTCTTTGATGTTCTGTGTGTACTGGTGTTTGAATTTCTAGCCACTCTTTGCTGTTCTCCATTTCTGTGCTCCCAGCCGATAGGGGCAATGGTTGGGTTTCATCTCGGTCGTCAGCAGAAGTTTTCTCACTGGGGCAGCATCTCCAGTCTTTCTAAGGCAGCTTCCCCTCTAATGTCACTGACCCACATGGTCACTTGTGGGATCAGGGGACTCGGGTAGGATAGAGGCCCCTTTAGTTGGTGAGTGAGGCCTTCACAGCATAAATAAGGCCCAAAGATTCATAGTGAATCGAGTAGTCATGACCTTCTGTCGATAAGGACCACACGTGACGTGGTGGAGCCCCTCCTGGAAGCTCTGGTGTGGGTGCCTCCAGCATTTACCATAAACACGCCAAGCACAGTGGACACCAGAAATAAGACAGGGACTTGAAAGCTGTTAATTTCAGGTGCAGTATAATGACTAAAAACTGACAATATATAGTGGGTAGGGTTTTTTAAGAAACAGTAAAGGGGAGTCCCTGGTGGTACAGTGGGTACAGCACAGTGCTGTAAAGCTGTCCGCAGCCTCTGCACCACGGGTTGAGTTCCCAGACAGCCAGGGAGCTACCCACATGGCGCGGCAGACCTCTCCTGCCTCACCCGCTGCTCCCCTCAGCAGTGTATTTCGGTCAGTCTGGCTCTCACCCCCCACACCTCTCATGCCAGCTCTCACCCCCCACACCTCTGTCCTGTACCCCAGCTCTTGTATAAATAAATAAATCTTTTTTAAAAAAGAAACAATAAAGGAACTTAACAAATTATAATGGTAAAATCAAAATAATAGCTCGTGGACTGCACAATATTCTAATATTTCCAGGAAGAGTTGAGGAACGGCACTCACATCACACCGCACTTTACACGTGTGATTATCCACATTTATTTAATTACCTAGAATGCCTTAGAATTTGAGGACAGTGTCCTTCTGGGCACGTTATTACAGGGATCTCACCCAGAGTGTTTGCGTTTCCATATGGAGTTCTTCAAACAAGAAAACTCGTCAGATTTACATATCATGAATGATATTATCATTTAGTGTAGACGGAAAGACATAAAGAATTTGAGGGTTTAAATTGGGGAAGTGAAAAGCCCCTGAGTGCTTTTGCTGTCTGGCCTCAGCTCCTCTCTGCTGACTGCATCCACCTTTGGTTTCCCGTTGTGATTTCCAAGGTTTGAAAATTTCACACCAAAATATTTCAATATAAAATGTAGTCTCAATTGGACATCAGGCCCTTTAACTGTTTCTCAAACAGGTCACCCTCTGAGGGAATCAGGCTGACCTTGCCTTCAGCCCAGGCGAGTCCCGTAAGGCACATGGCAAATTTGGAGGCAGCCAGCAATGGTTAAAAGATGACATCATCTTGATACATAAACATCTGGGTTGACAACTTGCTACTGTTATTTTAAATCATTGGCATTTTTATTTATCTGATGATAAATAACTTTGTTAAAATTAATTCTTGATACTGTCATAGTTTACTGGTCAATAAAATTTATGGGGCATAATGACAATAAAGTTACGAGATATAAGGAGAATTCAATACGTGTATTGAATTAAGAACCTGAATCAGGGTATTATAAACATATGCTGAGACTATTCATTGCCTACATTTTGCCACTTGTGTATAAAATAAATAAAAATTTAAAATAATGAAATATTAACTGCCTCAAGATCGCATGAATTTAAACATTTAAGCACATTTTAAACAGTTGTACAACATAATATACACTAAGAACACTGAAGACTCCACTGAAAACAACAAATTAAGTCAATGAGCCACATCAGTGTAGTTGGAAGCTGAAAATCAATTGTCTTCTATATGCACAAAATGAACTAGAAGAGAAGTTAAGAAAACAAACCCACTTATAATCACGAGACTAAGTACCACGGAGTAGACATAACAAAGGAGGTGAAGATACAAGAAAAGAGAAAGACATTGTCAAAAGAAATAGAAAAGACAGAGAAATGGAAAGATATTCCCTGCCCTTGGCTTGGAAGAATCAACATTACCAAATGCCCATCTGACCCAAAGCAACTTACGGATTCAACTTAATCCCAATAAGACCTTCAATGACATTCTCCAAGGATATAAAAAAAATTACTGAAATGTATGTGGAACCATAAAAGGCCCCGAACACCCAAAACAACACTGACAAAAAGAGGAAGAATGGAGGCAGCTCACGCCAGACTTCAGTCCATACAATAAAGCTCTAATAGTTAAAGCAGCATGGTACTGGGACCAAAACAGACAGACAGAACTCTGGAATATAATGAGGGCCCAGGAACCCACCCTCATCAGGACGGACAGTGACTCTACGACAGAGGAGCCAGAGCAGGCACTGGAGAGGGAAAGTGGGGAAATGGTGCTGGGAGAAGCAGACAGACACACGCAGCAGAATGAAGCAGGTCACTGCCCCACACCCTACAGAATAGACTCAAACAGATAAACGCCTCTTTGCAAATGTGTCACTATAGTCATGCTGCAAACCTAAGTACATGACATCATGCGCAGAAACCCTAATATTCTACCCCATTTTGTTAAGGTTAAAAGTAAAATTATTCAAACCTAATAACAGTTCTAATGTAAGTGCAGTGACAGGTGCTGGGGTGGAAAAGAACCGCAGGATACATAATTTCAGAGATGAGTAAAGTTTCTCTTCCCGAAGGGCTGGTGACCCCCGTGGTCACTCACTTCTGCTGGACGTCCATTGTCTTTCCTCCCCACTCCCCTCCCTTGGCTCCCTCCTGCCTCTCTCCGTGTCCCTTCCCTCCTGCCTCAGGCCTTTCTGCATCCCCCTCACGCCCATCTCCAGGGCCTCTCCGTGAAGGGCAACGGTGGGTGACGGGCGACTGTCCAGCTGTCTAGACAGGGACTCAGGGCACTGTTATGACTGATGGTGCCCACCATGGTGGACACGACAGGTGGGGATTGGAACCTGGAAATGAGGATTTGTCTGTTCACTTCGATAGAGGCGTGAGCCAGACACAAAATCACATCTACACACCGAGTGTGATAATTACTCCCCGAGAAGCACTGCAGGACGCTCCAATAAACACAGTCAAGTAAACACACACTTTCCCTCTGGAGGAAGGTCCCTGAGGGCTGGAATCTGGACAGTGTCCAACACGTGGACACCAGCTCCAGAGCTCAAATAGCCCAGCCCTGAGGCCCTGCTCTGTCCATGAGGCGGCAGCAGGACAGTGTGGAACATCCTGTGAGTGCTCAGAGGTGTCCCCAGGAGCCCCGCCATGGATTGAGAGGCCAGGATGCCATCTATCTTGCCATGGGGACAACCTCAGGACAGAGACTCAACACGGCAGTGGGAACTTCCCCCCCCAGACTGCAGGTATTCTGTTCTTAAACAGTTTTCGAATGGAAATCATTCAGATTTGACTGTTTTTAGATTTCAAGCTTCATTTTAGATCTGAGAAAGCACAGTAAATAAAATACTTGTTTTATAAATCATGAAAACTATTAAATTCTGAAGGTGCACAAGTTTCTCAGTGCCCCACTGCCTTATCATGCTGGATGAGTCTCAGCGAGAGGAAATATACTCTCCTGGAATTTAAAGTGTTCAAAGGATTGAACAGAATGTTGTGGTGCATCGTATATGTGACAACTAATGCTTCATAACTGGATTTGAGCATTCAGCACACTGAGTTGTTCTGGGCACTACATAAAAGACAACAATTAATGGAATTACTTGTGATGAAGAATGTCTCTTTACAGACATGGACTTGGGTTTTTTTTTCCCAATTCCAACACTCAGGAGTCTTTAGTGATATTGCACAGGAAGAGAATATGCCAGAGCTTCTGTCATCATTACCGATATCAGTCCAAAGGTATCTACATCTTGGACCATCTCATTACACGATTTATTTTCCTGTTTTTATTAAATTATTAGGAAGATGCCACCAATGTGTTGTAATTATTTTATGTTACTATGTGACCTTAAAAATCCTGCCTCCCCAGGGCCTTCCCCTCCGTCACCCCACAGAGGGGGGAGAGGATGACATTGGGGAGGGGAAGTGGAGTGGGCAGGGCTGCCCCGTGTCCAGATGTCCCCACTCACCCACGGGCCTGGGTGAGGAACAACCTGCACCCGGGGGACCTGGGTCCCTGGGACCGGCAGGGACAGCCACACGCACAGACCATCCGGCTCAGCCCCAGAGCGGCCTCCTCCCTGCACAGATGTGCATGAGTCTGTGGGGGACAGAGGGGCCGGGGAGGAACCCGGGGTGGACGAGCCCATCCTGCAGGAGGGACGTGTGGGTGTGACCCAGGAGGAGACTCTGTGGGAAACGTGGTCTCTGAGTCCTCAGATGTGGGGAGTCAGGGGCAGGGAGATGAGGAAACGAGGGGACGGACCAGGAGTCAGCAGTGAGGCCACAGGAATCTGACAGAGGAGGCATCAGGACACGCCACACGGGGATGCTGAGCTCAGATCATTCAGTTCCAGGACAGTGTCAGGTTCCGGGGAGCAGGAAAACAGGGACCCGCACACCCCATACCTGTCACTGACCAGGGCTGTGCTGGAGGAGCAGGGACAGGGTCTCTGGGGTGGGGGGTACTGGGCATGGTCACGTGTCCTCTGGGACTGTGCCCTGGACAACCTCTGGGAGGTGTGCTGGGCGGAGATGCTGGGGCCTGGGCAGTAGGTGGGAGCAGCAAAAGTGGGGCAGTCGGGAAGTACAGTCAGTTGGGTTTGTTGAGAGGTTTGAGACTGTAATTCTTAAAGTTCTGTAGGGTCAATGGAAATCTTCAAGCCTTCACCAATTTCCAGGACATGTTTGGACAGTGTGATAATGTCCCCTTCACATGAGATGGAAATGAAAGTTGAACACAGCAGCACACG